AGGGCCGGACTTCCTCTAGTGAGCCCTGTGCTCACTGCCCGACACCATAGAGCTCAAATGGCATTTGCCACTGAACACCAGAATTGGCAGGTCCACCACTGGCACCCTGTGCTTTTCACAAATGAGGGCAGGTTCACTTTGAGCACATGTGACAGACATGAAAGGGTCTGGAGAAGCCGTGGAGAACATTATGCTGCCTGTAACATCGTTCAGCATGACCGTTTTGGTGGTGGGTCAGTGATGGTCTGGGGAGGCATATGCATGGAGGGATGCATAGACCTCTATAGGCTAGACAATGGCACCCTGACTGCCATTAGGTATCGGGATGAAATCCTTGGACCCATTGTCAGACCCTACGCTGGTGCAGTGGGTCCTGGGTTCCTCCTGGTGCATGACAATGCCTGGCCTCATGTGGTGAGAGTATGCAGGCAGTTCCTGGAGGATGAACGAATTGATACCATTGAATGGCCCTCATGCTCACCTGACCTAAATCCAATAGAACACCTCTAAGATATCATGTTTCAGTCCATCAGACGCAGCCAGGTTGCACCTCAGACTATCCAGAAGCTCAGTGATGCCCTGATCCAGATCTTGGAGGAAATACCCCAGGACACCATGGGGTTTATTTACTAAAGCTGGAGAGTCCAAAATCAGACTCCCTTCTGAATAGAAACCAATCAGCTGCTAACCTCAGCTTGTTCAATGAAGCTTTGGCAATGAAACCTGGAAGCTGATTGGTTTCTTTGCAGAAGGGAGTCTGATTTTGGACTCTCCAGCTTTAGTAAATAAACCCCCATCTGTCGTCTCAATAGGAGCATGCCCCGATGTTGTCAGACACTGCATACAAGCACATGTGGGCTATACAAACTACTGAGTACCATTTTGAGTTGCTGCAATGAAATTTCAGCAAAATAGACTAGCTAGCCACAATATTTTTTCACTTTGATTTTCAGGGTGTCTTTGAATTCAGCCCTCTGTAGATAATTTTCATTTCCATCAAATGATGGGACATCCTTACATTCCTAACATATTTCCCAGTCCATATCACGATAGATATCCAGCATGATACTTTTCCCCATTGAAATCTGATGTGTTTTCAAAGTGTTCCTTTAATTTTTTTGTGCAGTGTATTTAATTTGTAGTGCTTTTTTATTCTACTTTATCCTGGAGTCCCTATAGGGTATCTGGGCTTATTTCATTCACTTTACATCACAATCATCCATTTTGTTGTCACTGTACTTATCTGTTGGTACATTGGAAATGTGGGTCCTCGAGTCCACCCTTTAATGTATCTATTTTTCCCTTTCCTACTCATGCTTTTCTGGGTTTTTTTTAATCAATAATGTGACATTTTCTTTGCTCCTCCAGTTTTTGCGGCTCTACCATTTCCACTCTCGATTATGGTAGTGAGCTTCTGATTGGTCTGGTCTTCCTCACAACTCCCAGCTGGGACAGCATGGGCTAGTTGGCATATTCCTGTTATACCTCCTATGTATGGGCCAGCATTCACTTGGTTTCTTTTTTTTACCTTTGGTGAATTAGTAACTATTATACTGTGGTCTTTTTGCCCCTTTTTTTGTTTTTTTTTTTTGTGTAATTTTCCTAACGACCTGGTTTCTCCATAGACATTTATGACTCACAAAACGAATCTAAATCTGTGCAAGAGCGTTTCTACTGTGAATTTTTCAAGATGCTGAACATACGTGTAACTACTCATGATATACTGCATGTATATCATTACTTTTTGTGCTGTATTAAGGTTTTTATGCCTAGCTTGAGCTTTTTTAATATGTCTATTTTCAATAAAATGTGAAGTTTTTTACTGTTCTTGTTGTTTCATGAAGTCCCTTGGGCACTTCTTTTGGTTTTGTATCATGAGTATATGATTAGTAACCAGGGATAGAGAAACATTGGAATTTAGTATCTTTTTAGCTTGAGGTGATTGTAGCTGTATTAGTGCACTTGCGACAGAAACAATTGAGTACTGACGTGATACTTTTTTTATTTGCACTAACATACAATTTTGAGGACAAGCTTTCGGGGTATGTCCCCTTCTTCAAGGTCCAAGCAGTACTATTACAACGTTTTAGCAGAATGTTAGAAGAGATATGGGGGATGAGAAAAAAAAAAAGGCAGAAAGAAACACAAGCCTAGGGTTAGCCTAGAGATAAGACACAGCAAAGCAAAAGCAAAGACTGGGAGGGGGGGGGAGAGAACAACACTCACAGAGGGAGTCATAAAAATGTTGGATAATGATTGAGGAATCCCAAGTCCAAATTAAGGCCCTTATTCGTTTCAAATAGAATTATCATTCTTAGTTCAAAAGTTTTTCTTTCCTGAATGGATTTGAAATTTCCATTAAGAACTAAAACATTGAGGTCTTCCATAATGTGGTCTGGTTGTGCAAAATGGTGTCCCACAGTTGTGCAAAAGTCATCTTCTTTATGTTCCTTGTTGGTAGGTCTGTGCAAATTCATCCTTGTTTGCAACTTCTGTCCTGTTTCGCCAACATAAGATTCTTTGCTACACTTTCTGCACTGGATAAGGTACACAACATTACTGGATCCAGAGATATTGAAGATCTCTTTTGAGTGTCTGACATTTTTTGATGGATTGATTTGGTTGCACAGTTTGCAGCGTTTTTTATTGCAGGGTTTGCTTCCATTATTTGTGACCTCATAATCAGAAGGAAGTTTCTTACTGATTAGTTTATTTCTGAGGTTGGGGGGTTGTCTGAAGGCCAGTATTGGGGGTTGCTGGAATATTTCTTTCAGAGTTCCATCCTCTGTTTATGATGGGTTGTAAATCTTTGATTATTTTTCTTATTCCTTCTAGTGCTGGGTTGTATGTGGTTACTAGAGGTACACGTTTTTTTGTTTTTTTTCTCTTTGTACTGAAGTAGATTTTCCCTTCGGGTTCTCAAGGCTGTGTTTATGCTGGTGTTGATAGTTTTGTCCTTTCTTATGGAAGGAGTCTGCTAGTGTCCCAAGATGTTTATCTCTGTCTCTTGGGTCAGAACATATTCGGTGGTATCTAATGGCCTGACTGTGTATGATGGCACGTTTCTTATGTTGGGGGTGGAAGCTAGAACTGTGGAGGTAGTTGCATCTGTTAGTGGGTTTCCTGTATATTGAGGTGTGAAGCGTGTCATCCCTGATGTATACTGTGGTGTCTAGGAAGTTGACGTGTGTGTTTGAGTATTCCATTTTTAGTTTGGTTGATGGATGAAAAGTTTTGATGGATGAAAAGTTTGGACATGGGATTCCTCAATCATTATCCAACATTTTTATGACTCCCTCTGTGAGTGTTGTTCTCCCCCCCACCCAGTCTTTGCTTTTGCTTTGCTGTGTCATCTCTAGGTTCACCCTAGGCTTGTGTTTCTTTCTGCTTTTTTTTTTTTTTTCATCCCCCACATCTCTTCTAACATTCTGCTAAAACGTTGTAATAGTACTGCTTGGACCTTTAAGAAGGGGACATACCCATAAAGGCTGTAAAAGCAATCATTTCTCCTTCTCTCTGGCTGCATTCCTGCAGCCATTGAGAAATAGTGTGAGAGCTGTGATTGGTCACAGCTTGTCACATGGTACAAGGCTGTTGTGAATAGCCTTGTATCATGTGACCTCTGTGATCATTCACAGATTTCACACGTAGTAAGCAATGATGTTAGGAAGTGACATCTTGTTTACTACTATTCATGTGATCACTAATTGGCCAATCAGTGATCACATGAATCGGGACCTCACGCAGAGGTCCCGTACAGTGGTCAGGGAGCGTGCGCAGGCAATGGATGTAGGAGGACGTTTAGAAATATCCACTTGCATCGGCAGCTCTCCCCTCTGGCAGTTTATCTACATGGGCCAGACGGGAAGTGGTTAAAGCAATCCACTGAGCTGGCTAGAACCAACTCTTGAAGGAGTCTATTCTACATTTTCACAGCTCTCACTGTGAAGAAACCTTTCCGTGTTTGGAGATTAAATTTCTTTTCCTCCAGACGTAAAGAGTGCCCCCTTGTCCTCTGTGTTGACCTCAGGGTGAATAGCTCTACACCGAGTTCACTATATGAACCACTGATGTATTTATACATGTTGACCACATCCCCCCTTAATCTCCTCTTCTCAAAAGAGAATACATTCAGTTCCACTAATCTTTCCTCATAGCTGATCTCCTCCATGCCTCTTACCAGTTTGGTTGTCCTTCTGGGTACTGTCTCCAGTTCCCCGATGTTCTTTTTGTGAATTGGTGCCCAAAACTGAACTGCATATTCCAGATGAGGTCTTTCTAATGATTTGTACGGGGTAAAATGATATCTCTCTCTCTGGAGTCTATACCTCTGTCAATACAAAAGAGGATTTTGCTAGCTTTAGAAACTGCAGATTGGCATTGCGTGCCATTATTAAGCTTGTGATCTACCAGAACTCCCAGATCCTTCTCCACCATTGATTCCCCCAGTTGTACCCCCCTAGTATGTATGATGTATGCATATTCTTAACCCCCAAGTGCATAAACTTACATTTATCAACATTAAATCTCATTTGCCACATAGTTGCCCAATTAAACAGTGCATTGACGCTCTCTTTACAACTTACCTTTTCTTGGAGCAGGTCCAGTGACACCCCGTATAAGTTGCATGCCGGTGATCCTGAGGGGATCATTGGCATGCAAACTATACGGGGTGACACTGGTGTAGCAGCACGATGTGTCTCCCATGTAGATGTCCCCCCTGAAGCAACTGCGCATGTCCCGGTTTCAGGTACAATCAATCGATTGATAGAACTACTGCTATCATCGATTGATCGTGCCTGAAACAGGGACATGTGCAGTTGCTTCAGGGGGGACATATCTACATAGGACACATCTTGCCACTACACCTGGACCCGCTCCAAGAAAAGGTAAGTTGTAAAAAAAAGCCGACGATCTCCGCAGGATGAGTTGGATCTGCGCGATTGAGCATAATGGATCGGAGTCTGATCCATTATGCTCAATTGTCTCGATTGTCTTTGAACTAGTGGCGTCCCGAGGCAGGTGCGGGGGTGTAGTCTGCACGGGGTGACACCGACTGCACGGGGTGACACCAGACCCGCTCCACAAAAAGGTAAGTTGTAAAGCAACCCGACGATCCCCACAGGATGGATCTGATCCATCCTGCGGGGATCGTCGGCCTTCTTTACAACTTACCTTTTCTTGGAGCGGGTCCGGTGCCACCCCGTATAGGTTACATGCCGTCGATCCTGCGGGGATCATCGGCATGCTACCTATACGGGGTGACACCGGATCCGCTCAAAGAAAAGGTAAGTTGTAAAGAAAGCTGACAATCCCCGCAGGATGGATCGCATCTGCGGATTGAGGATAATGGGTCAGAGACCGATCCATTATCCTCAATCCGCAGATCCGATTCATTCTGCGTGGATCGTCGGAGGGGGTGTCACCAAGTGTTACCACACCGGGTGACACCAACCCTAGGGACGCCTCTGGTCCCAACACTGAACCTTAGGGTACACCACTGACAACCCTAGACCATGCAGAGTATGAATCATTAACCACTACTCTTTGAATACGATCATAAGAGTTCTCATTTATAATGAACCTTAAAACTTGCATGTGGGATTAACATTTGTAATTATTAGCATTGCATGAAAAATGTTTTCTCCTCTGCTTGGTAATGAATCAAGCTTTAGTTACTTTGCACCACTGAGCAATAATTATGCTGGTATGCCTGCTTGGTTTACCAGATTTTCATGCATCAAGCCCTGAGACTCTTCATTTTTAAGTCTGGCAAATTCTTTAGTAGCCATAACTTTAGTCCAGGGGAGGAGAACTCAGGCAGGGCTAACAGCGCTGCTTGGGGTTTCAGAGTAGCAGAGGCACTGTGCTGTCAACCCAAACCGGAAGTTCTAAGCTCACTGGATTTCTTGCAGGATCAACATTTTTTTAGATTTTTTTACTTGCTGACAAAACATGAAGAAATGTGCTTATACTGCAGAGATGTACTGAATGTTATTTTAATATACTTTAATACTGTGCAGGTCATCAACGGGCATGCAGATAATCAAATAAGTAAGCATCCATGAAATTGAGCGTGCTTTGTACATATGGAACTCTGGAAAATGAGGGGAAGCCTCTTCCATATGATATGTTTAGACATAAAGAGAGTTATGTCTGGTTCATGGCTCCATACTGCTGTGTATGACAATGAAGAAGATCCTGTGCTGTCTGCATGACACAAATATAAGTAGGAAAATCAGGCTTCCTTCAAGCAACTAAATGCTTTGGTGATTAATTGTACATTAAAATAATTAATCACTGCAGCATTTAGCTCTTTTATCACATTGAAAGCTTTCACAGAGGGGGGCTGCAAACCATGGCACCCTTGTTAAAACAGGTCATTAGCAATATTGTGAATAGATTTATTAAATTGTCATTTGAAATGATATACCCAGCCTAGACTAAAAGACTGTGTATCTCTCCTTGGAGTCACCTACAGTAATATAAATATACCCTTTTTTTTTTTTTATTCAATAACTCATGGGTTGGCCATGGATCTTTCAGAAAACGTCACAAAAGATTTGATCAAAATTCCCTGAATACTCATAACCAGAATAATCAAAGTGAATGATGAAAAGCAACTTAGAGGATAAGTTCACCTTTCGTAACATGTAACAGGTTACACCCATATTCAGGTGTAACATGTTACGTTCAGACTGGCCCCCGATCTCCGCTTTGACAGCTAGCGGGGGATCTTCTCCCCCCTTGCTAGCTGTCAAATTTTTCACGGGTGGGACGTGACGTTGGACATTGCACAGTGACCGGAAGTGGCAGAGCGGCCATCTTAACTGAGGGAATATCGTGATTGCCGTTCGTGGAAGCTGCTCTGCAGACGGAAATGGGAATTTAAATGTTTTTTCTGCGGTTTTATAATACTTTACATGTAAGCACAACTAATAAAGTCTGAACAGGTTTATGTGACATATTACACTATATGGGTATCCTTTCTTTTCTATGAGTGATTACCTATAATTGGCTTTAGGAAGCAATGTACCAAACTTGGAAGTATAGGATGTCTGGCATCTGATATACCGTTGGTGGATCAACCTAAGGATCGGTGGCAATTGAATGATCTCTTTTAGAAGGCTTTTTGATCACATTTTGATGGTAAGAGTATTCACTCTAACCACATAGAAGTGTCCACGGAGTAGTGTTTATATATGGAGTGTACATGGAGTCCTGCACTAATTCACGTGTTTTCACACTGTGTTTTATATTGTGTTTTCACAATTTTTCACATATGTATATATGGTTTGATTATTGTTGCACTGAGGATAATACACTATTTAGTTTTTGTATTTCTTGAGGTACACGGCGATATGGGATTTAATTTTGGGATTATCACATTGAAGATTATTTGAAAGGATTTACTGACACTAAAGAGGATTCATGATTTATATTTTGGACTTTCAAGGCTGAAAGTGGGACTTTTTAAGTGTCAAAGGATAAGGTATTAATTATTCACAATTTTAATTAATTTTCACAATTTTTGTTTTGTTTGTAATATTTGGATACCGATTTTATTCAGTTTAGAAAGAAAAACAGCCAAAAAAAAAATCAAACTGAGGCAGCCACCATCTTCATTGATTGGAAAGCTGCAATATATTACATTTTTGGTTTACGGTTTAAGATCGCTCTAAAGGTAGCAAACATGTTTACATATTTTTTATGGTGAACAAATATTTATATTGATAACATTTTAATAAATAAAAAAAGATTTCTATTTATGCCACCTGCTGCAAGAATTTAAAATGTCCCATCCAGCTGACACATCAGTATTTGTAGTCTGGACTGCTTATCTCAGTTAATGGAGAGAAACAAAGCAATGCACAGAGACAGGTTTAAGGTACCTATAAATTTAGAATATATATCTGTTGTCCTTTTACATCATGAAGTTCTGTTTTTGTAAACCACATCATTAAATCAATGAATGATGTTCCTAACCTGTCCTATTATTTTATAGATGGAGAGAGATCTAAAGGTGCCTTCACACATAATAAAACATTTGTCTGATCTAGCCATTTACAGTTGGATCAGACAGTGGTTGTATGTTTTTAAGCCCATTTTCACCCAAGCCTTCTAGAAAAGTTAATTGGCCAGATTGTTTATTTCCTAGCTAGCTGCTGACATTTTCCCCTTGAACATGCTGATGCTTGCAGTGGCATACTAAGGGCAGTAGATGCCCCAAGTGCAGCCAGCTACCGGGTGCCGAGGGAGTACACTGCCGACGGTGTGTAGAGACAGCTGGGCAGACTGATAATCCACCTGACAGTGCCTGTATAGTGCTAGAGACTTTACTTGGCAGAGACAGTGGCACTGATGCATTTATCTACTGACCACCAATGCAAAACATCTCTTTACATTGGTGGTCATTGGAAGGAAAAATATGAATTATTGTATTGCAGCATTCTTCCCATTGACCACCAATGTAAAGAGGATTCTTCATCCTACTTACGACCCATGTCAAGGGTATTTTTTCCATTGGCATTCAATGTAGGGAAAATTATTTCGGCTTGCCATATGGCTTTGTCCCATTGACTGGGCTTCAGGTATTGTCATTGTTATTATCATTACCCATTTATTGACATGATTTCAAAATTGATATCTGCATATTGATATGATTTGTTTCCCACAAAAAGCCACCGTTGTCCATTTGTTGCCCACATACTGTTACAATTCCCCTTTGTTGCTTGTGTATTGTAACAATTGCCCATGCATTGTAACAATATAGCGTACAAATAAAAAGTGCGCTAATTATTCACAAAACATGCAAGGATAAATAATAAAAATAAATGAATTCATAAATATAAACATAAGTCCAGCCACCATAACAGTGATAGTCCAATATCAACTTAATGTCAATCTTGAAAACAAACACCCATGTGCAAATCCGACACCAGATGAAATGAATACACTCACCAGAGCTATATGCTGATTATATTATAAACCAGCATGATAGCATTTTGCTCTGGGAGCAATGATCTGCAGGCTATCCCAGTAGAGGAACAGCAACCAATAGTAATCCAATCAGCACATATGGAACAGCTAGGCAGCACATATGGAACAGCTAAGCAGCAAATGATCTTCCAATAACATGGGCAAAGCTCGAGGAATAAGAAGAGATATGATGGTGCAGTACATTTAAAACCAGTAAAATTTTATTAATAAAGTATTGCACTCACAAAGAAGGTGTCTAGCCAACACCAGCAATGACAGCCGCTAAAATGCCACATCCATAAGGGAAAAACCAAGGGACGAACCTCCTGCACTGCGATCAAACAGCCGACAGCTGGGAGGAACGTTCCAACGTCACATCCAGTAGGCCAGGCCAAACGCGTTTCGTCACTTGACGTCTTGTAACAATAGACAATTTGTTGCTTAGGTATAGTAAAGATACCCTGTTTGTTACCTGCTTATTGAAACAATTACCCAGTTGTTGCCGACATATAGTCACTATTGTTCATTTGTTGCCCACATATGTATACTGCTATTAAACACTTTCATTTTGCTTCCTTTTTTTTTCAGTGGTGTGATTATTTACAACATAATGTACAACATTCAGATTTATCTTCATTTATTTTCTGTCCATTATTAGTATTCATTTAGTTTAATGATCATTACTGATAAAAGTTTTGACATATAGAAGAGGGGGGTGTTAAAAAATCCAGTCTGATGTGAAAAAACATTAGGTACACCAGTGCGTGCTAGAGATGTTTGCAGAGTGTTCCCCTTTCCTCCTCAACAGGTGCACACATTTGCATTTTGTCTTTTTTATAAATGTGAATGCGTGCATAATGATCTTTTCTAAGAAAGACTGCCTGACCGCCAGACTGTGCATGCACGCCTGGTCGCCATCTGATGTCTTCAGGCTGCCTAATGGAATCATAATTTCAAAAAAGTTGGAAGGGCTGCCTGACACTTGTCTTGTAGCAGAACATGATTGCTCAATAAGCATAGCTTCAGGTTTGCCCTTTTGACATATATCTGTTCGAAAATACACCACACCATGTGGCATTCTATTCTTCCAGAAAAGAAAGTTTTAGACAAAGATAAATCCTTAAAGTGAGACATTTTAAGACCCCTCAAACAGCAGGCTTCACATGGTGCCTTGCATTATCTTTAATATATTAAAAACCTTTTTTGATATGCCCCTCTGGTTCTATTGTTTCATAATAGGCCTTGATATTTCTGACTTTGGTAGTAAGCTCCACACTCTTACCACTCCCTGCCCAATGGCAGGGGCGTATAATTGTCTCTCATTGGAAAGCACCTCTGTATGAACCCTCTGTTCTTCAGAGTGGTAGTCTTTAAGGGGTTGAATAATTGTGGCAATGAAGAAACCACATCAAGAACCATATTTACTACTGTATTACATAAACAATTGATTGAACATGGAGTGATGAAAAAGTGGGATTTAC